AATTAAACTACAAAGTTCAAATAAACCTTACTCTTCTTAAAATAGAAAAATTTCAAAACATAAGATTACAAATCTTTAAATTAAATTTTACTTTCAAAAGAAATAGGTATGGCAAAACACCTTAAACCTAATAACAATACACTTTAAAACAAATTCAACATTCTTTGACCACTAGATCAAGCAAAAAAGCAAAACAATTAACGGTCGAAAAGATAACAACCCACAAGTGGGGGAAAGCTACTTATGGGTGTCGTCGTTGGGATCGTTCTTGTTTATGCTCACACTCAGCTGATCAACGTGTTAAAGTTTGTTTAAAATTCATTCAACACTCACCTCGTGAGTGATCCATTTTAGTAAACAAAATTGTTAAACAAAATGAACTAAGATTCCTAAATTTTTGTTTACTTATTTTTACACCAAATTTCTTAGTGCATGCGTTATTTTTCTTCAACATTTAATCATTAGCCTACACACATTTTGTCTACGTACCAATATACAAAAGTAGAGGCATTAGATTATTTTATTCTTATTCAAGAACACTTTGAACAATTTATTTTGTCAATTAAGTTGGCATTAGATTTGCATACATACAGATTTATCTTTAGGATTCCATTACATGAACAAAGCGCTTAGACACTTGGATGGTCACCAGAAATCACCAGATGGGGACCATCCTACGCCAACATCCTGTGGTCCAGATGAGCACCATCCTGATGTATCATCCAGAGGGTCCCATCCTTCCTCCAGCTGACATCACTGCATCATCCAAATGGTCCAATCCTTCATCCAGATGACATCACTGTATCATCCAACTTATCCAGTCCACCATCCAGATGACATCACTACATCTCCTGACAATCCAACCCATCATTCCAGAGAGTAACATCACCATGCCTTCTAGAGGGCCCCTTGGCCTTCACATGGAATACCCTTGAGTTTCTTTTTCCTTTCTGTGGAATTATCATTTTGAACTCAAATGGAATACCTTTGCCTTTCCTGTTTCATGTTGTGGAATTAACCCTTTGAACACACTGGGAATAACTTAGAACATTGATCCTTTCCCTACCTGGAATTATTCCTTCTGACTTCATATAGGATAACTTCAACCTTGTTTTCCTTCCATGGAATTATAGACTTTGACTTTTGGGAATCTACTACAATGTTCTTGGAACCTTCCTGAGGTGTGGATGATGAATTATCGATTCACAACCATCAGGGTTGAAAATCAAAAAGTGGGGGAATATGTAGGGGAGCACCACCTCAGAAACAGTTCACCACCTCAGAAAAAAACACCTCATCTCAGAAAATAGTTCATCTCAGCTTAAACAGAAAAAAGTTCACCTCCAGTCTCCAGTTTCTCCTATTGTTGCCAACCTGTACATGGAGGAGGTAGAAAAGAGAGCCTTGACGTCCTTTTCAGGGACACCACTAAGTCATTGGTTCAGGTATGTTGACGACACCTGGGTTAAAATCAAATCTCAGGAAGTCCAACATTTTACTGACCACATAAACTCTGTGGATAAATACATCAAGTTCACACGAGAAGATGTAAAAAATGGCAGGTTGGCTTTCTTGGACTGTGAGGTCTCAGTCTCTGATAGAGGACATTTGCAAACTGAGGTGTGCCGCAAACCCACCCACACAGACCAGTATTTGCAGTTTGACTCCCATCACCCTTTGGAGCACAAGTTAGGAGTCATCAGGACTCTATATCACAGAGCAGACAGCGTCCCCACTAGCTCAGGAGCCAGGCAGAAGGAGAAATCCCACACAAGACAGGCTCTAGAGCAATGTGGATATCCTAACTGGGCCTTCCTGAAAGCAGAGAAGAAACCCAAACAGGACTCCAGTCAGCCAACAGGTGAAAAGGAGGAACCCAGACCCAGACCAGTGGTCATTCCATATGTTGAGGGAGTATCAGAGAAACTGAGACGTTTATTTTCTAAACATAACGTCCCAGTGGCTTTTAAACCCCAAAATACATTACGGCAAAGACTGGTTCATCCCAAAGATCCAGTCCCCCGGCACAAATTGTCAGGGTTTGGTGGACAGGAACGAACCCAGTAGTGCAGACAGGACTCAACTCGGCAGATTACAAAACCAAAAACTTTAATGATGAAAAAAGTACAAAACAATAAGCTGACGTAGCAGCACACTTACTTAAACTAGACGACTCAGGAGGGATACTCAGACGGGACTCAGGAAGCTCAGGAAAACTCACGAGACACAGGAGAACACTGCAGACCCAAACGAATACGACGAGGAACAAGACAGAACAGACAGCTTTAATACAAGGACAAAACGAGACGTGATTACAAACAGCTGTGACAAGACAAGGGTGACACCAATTAAACTGAAGAGAACACACAAGGGAAACACAGACACAAACCGAGTCCACCAAATGGTACCATCCTTACACAAATAGAGCAATGTTGTGTATGCTGTTCAGTGTCAGGAGGGTGATCAGTCTTACATCGGGGAAACAAAACAGCCACTGGCCAAAAGGATGGCCCAGCACAGAAGATCAACATCATCAGGCCAGGACTCTGCAGTCTACACTCATTTCCAGGTCAGCGGTCACTCTTTCAGGGATGAAGATGTTCACATCCTGGACAGAGAGGAACGATGGTTTGAGAGAGGAGTAAAGGAGGCCATCTTTGTGAAAAGAAATCGTCCATCATTAAACAGGGGTGGAGGCCTCCGGGTTCAACTGTCCCCCTCTTACAATGCTGTGATTGCTAGTATCACTCAGCCCTCTGTGAACAGTAAACAGCCATCAGGTGCTAATGATCCATTGTTAGGCTGATGGTCCTTCTTGAGCATGTGATCAGCTGGTTTTGGTTGTCAGCAGCAAACTGGTTGATCCACTCTGAGAAGGTGCTATTTAAGAGACTGAGCTGAATACAGCTCCTCAGACTGAGGAAGTCTCTCGGATGAGGGACGAAACGTTTCTACATTTTTTTGTTGATTTGCTTTGTTTTGTTTTTTTGAATGTCCAGAGGACCAGATTTAACTTTTTTAGATTTTTCTACCTGGATTATTGAGCATGCATCAGGATATGTCACTCTGGTTGTTCCAGAATCACATTGTGTGAACGATTAAAGTCTCACCACTGAATCTCAGCTATATACTCTGTACTGTCCATTAACGTTACAGCTCCTGCTGTTGTAGTGTGTACTGTGTTATTTGTAAAAGCCTTGAAACAGCAAGTTTTTGATAAACATATACAAAATGTGAAGCACAGCAGATTAAGCAGATATAAAACTGTTTTTTTTTTATCAATTTTGAGATGTTTATGAACAAACCTATGTGACCACATCTACTGATAAGGAAAAAAAAAACATTTCATTTAAAGAAAAGCTTGGCCTTGCTGGACAGTCTGTAATACCCTGAGGACCAGCACACTAATGGCTCCTGTGGACGGAGAAATGACACAGTGAGCAGTCATTAGTCCATGCTGTGGACCGTAGAGTCCACCTCATGGGAAAGATGTATGCTGTGTACAGTTAGTTTAAAGCTCTGAGGATTAAGGCTACCAAATAAAATCACTTTTTTCTAATGGCAGAAAACCCACAGTACAGTATATTAGTTTTATATTTTTCACCCACTGCCAAAGGTGAATGGTGACAATGTTTTCACCAATGACTGTGTGCTTGCCCCTGTTACCATAAAATCTCATCAACCACTGGATAAACGTTCAAACTTTCAATAAGTAATCTTTAGATGTACAACTTGTTAACTTGTGGAGTCAATTGGATTTAAGGTCGTTTTCACAGCTGATAGTCCGGTAGACTCGGTTCGGTTCAGGACCAATATTCATGAGCTTTTGTTACATTTGAGCTGGTGCGTTTGCATTCACACTGCACTCTGCAGTCGAGTCAACCTGTTGAACCAACCTGTTCCCCCGCTCGCCTGTGGGGGCGCTGCACCAAGAACTACTGAAAGAAACGACACAAAAACCTCTGAAGACACGTCTTCTTTTTCCTCTGTAAATAAAAATAAAAACGAAGTGGCATCAAGTTTTAGCAGTTTTAGGAGTTATATTTTGTCATTTTTCAACAATGGACTCAGCATGAGCAGAAGATGAGACAGAAGATCATGGAGAATATTGTTTTTCACACAAGGCAGCTGACGGCTCCATATGAGCTAAGAGAAATGCGTGTTTGTTTGTCCTGCGCTGTACTCCACTTCCTGCTTGTGGAGCGGGGCCCGGTCTGATTACATTCACACTGTACTCGAACCGTGCTTCTACCGGACTGAGACCTAGGTTTTAGCCCGGGCCAGAGTTCGCCTTTTTGTTCCGTGACAGAGTTTGATGGCGTGTTCACACCTCCTCAAACAAACCGGACTTCCTAGGCAAACGGGCTAGAGTTCCATTAAAGCGAACTAAACAGGGCTGGTGTGAATGCACCCAGATGCTATCACAGTCAGCTGACCTTACAAAACAAAGAAAAAAAAAATTAAAAATGACTACAACTCTGTAACAGACTGAGCAAGGTCTTTATTTAAAATGTTACAATTAACTAAATGAAGTCAGTTCTGTATTTCTGTTATCAAAACATCTCTTGAAACACTAGATGGGTTTTAATGAAACTTACAGGAAGAAATAGGTAAATGTAAACATTTGCAGCTAATTAACTTGTGGAGTTAACCCAATTCAAAATGGTAACCACAGCTCACCTTGAAATCACAAAAAAAAACCTATAATCTAGACAATTTTATGGTTACTGTGAAAAAATTGGAAGTTTAGCAGAAAGTGTTTCATAATCTACAATATATTACAATTTTTCTCATCTTTCAAGATCTTCAATTTCATGAACCGCTGAATAAATTTGAATGAAACTTTCAGAAACTAGTTATTATATGTACCACTGCAACTGATGGAGGCAGTTTTATTTAAGATGGTCAAACTCACAAAAGTCACTTTTACAATGTTGAGCTCAAATTTAGTGTGATAGTAGCTTAGAGTTGGTGAGAGAGATGACTGCACAGTGGCACTGTTGGTAGAGCTGACGCCTCTCAACAAGAAAATTATTGGGTTGAATCCCAGCTAGGGGCCTTTCTGGGTGGAGTTTGCATGTTCTATCCGTGCATGTGTGGGTTTTCTCCGGATACTCTGGTTTCCTCCCACAGACCAAAAACATGCATGTTAGGCTGATTGGTAACTCTAAATTGTCCCTAGGTGAGAGAGAGAGCGAGAGAGAGAGTGAATGGTTGTTAGTCTCGTTTGTCTCTGTGTCGCTGTGATGGACTGGAGACCTGTCCAGGGTGTCCCCCTGCCTCTCGCAGAGTCATGGCTAGATATGGGCACTAATGACCGTAAAGGAAGAACCGGGTAAAGATGGAAGCAGCTGTGACTCATTCACAACAATACTCAGTATCAGGATGTGACATATTGATATACTGTAATGCATAAAATTGTACATAGGATTATTTTCAAAATTTGACCAAGAATAAATATAGTACTGTCATTCCTCAACATAAAATGATCTTCTATTAGAAATAATGGGTAACCCATGATAACCATGTTTCTCATTGCCGAATAAAAAATATTAGTTTGTCAGCACTCATATCAACATTCAAATCGGTGACACAAGCACAAGGAACTCATTGAACATAGGAGTAAAAATTGTTTAAGGTGTTCAGGAGCAACTCAGGATGCACCAAAGCTCAAACTGAAAACTTCTCAAACATTGATGTCTCTGTCCACAGTGAAGCAAGTTTTAAACCATCATGGACTGAAAAAACATCAACCAAGAAAAAAGCTATGAATCCAAAAGTGACACGTTCAAGCTAAACTGAAAAAGGCAGTAGGTCACATGAACAAAATTAATATCCCTCTGGAGAAAGGTTTTATGGTCAGACGTAACAAAGACTAAGCTATTTAGGCACTATGACTTAATGTGTTTGAAGGAGTCATGTGACGATTTCAAAAATGGTGAAAACTGTCAAGCACAGTGGTGGTAGCATCATGATGCAGTACCAGTGCATTTCCCAAAGTGAATGGAATAATTCAGAAAGAGGACTTCCTACAAATTCTTCCATGTTCCCTCAATTCTACGTCAAACTTGGACACTGTAGTGTATTCCAACAGGACATTGATCCAAAACAAACATAAGAACTGGTTTCTGTTTAGACCGTGGGCCAAGTACAAATCATTAAAAAAAGCAGTTAACCAAATATTAGTTATATTTGAGCCTGTTTGTTTAATTTTGCAGTAGCCCAGCGGGATGACTGAACAATCACCTCACGGCAAGAAGGCTGCAGGATCAGTTGCAAAACAACTTGAATACATGCACACCAGCTATTCATCCAGGAGCTTGGCAAAGAGCTTGCATGCCACATATGAAGAGGCGCATGGAGGCCAAACACAAACTCCAAAAATATGTTACAGAGACAAATGAGGAGATACGGTTTAATCAAATAAAACACACCCACCACCCGGGGCCCCACTCTGGAGCCAGACATGGAGGTGAGGCATGCTGGCGAGCACCTGGTGGCCGGGCTTTTACCCATGGAGCCTGGCCCGGCACAGCCCGAAGAGGTGACATGGGTCCCCCTTCCCATGGCCTCACCACCTGTGGGAGGGGCCAAAGGGGTTGGGTGCAATGTGGGATGGGTGGTGGCCAAGGGCGGAGACCCTGTCATTCTGATCCTCGGCTACAGAAGCTAGCTATTGGGATGTGGAATGTCACCTCTCTGGTGGGGAAGGAGCCTGAGCTGGTGTGTGAGGTTGAGAGATTCTGGCTAAAAATAGTCGGACTCACCTCAATGCATGGCTCGGGCTCTGGAACCAGTTTCCTTGAAAGGGGTTGGACACTCTTCCACTCTGGAGTTGCCCCTGGCAAGAGGCGCTGAGCAGGAGTGAGCATACTTGTTGCCCCCCATCTTGGTGCCTGAAAGTTGGGGTTCACCCCAGTGAACAAGAGGGTAACCTCCCTCCGCCTACGTGTGGGGGGACAGGTTCTGACTGTTGTTTGTGCTTATGCGCCAAACAGCAGCTCAGATTACCCATCCTTTTTGGAGTCCTTGAAGGAGGTACTGGAGAATGCGCCTCCTGGGGACTCCCTTGTTCTACTGGGGGACTTCAACGCTTACGTGGGCAATGACAGTGAGACCTGGAGGGGTGTGGTTGGGAGGAATGGCCCCCCTGATCTGAACCCGAGTGGTGTTCTGTTATTGGACTTCTGTGCTCATCATGGATTGTCCATCACGAACACCATGTTCAAGCATAAGGGTGTCCATATGTGCTCTTGGAACCAGGACACCCTAGGCCACAGTTCGATGATTGACTTTGTTGTTGTCTCATCTGATCTGCGGCCACATGTCTTGGACACTCGGGTGAAGAGAGGAGTGGAGCTGTCCACTGACACTGACTCACCTGGTGGTGAGTTGG